TCGATGAGGTGACATAATTTGTGTGACGTTTATATGGTGGCATATATACCAGCATGACGATGAAATAGCCGGCATGAAACATTCTGCAATGGTTCGCGGGTGTCAAGCTGATATCATAGGGTTTTACGTCTTTTAAAAAGGGCAGGGCTGTGAACTGCACTAAACGCTCTTTAAGATGAATATCTCAGTTCAAAACCCATTCAAATATGGAGCACTCCCTCTTAATGCAGATTAAGTTAAACTTCGACCACCCGTACCAACTCTGTCTCCATCCCCACGGCTAGAAATGTGTGCCGCCGCTCATGGTTATCAGTTAGGCCAAATCGTATTTTAAGGGCAAGCCACTGAATGGTGGTCAGAGTTCTTCCCCTACAGGAAGTGATAAAATTCTGACACACCCAAAGGCCACCTTTCCAGGCTGCCGTGGTAAAACAAAAACAATCCATGTTTTCAGACATGAGGGTGCAGTTTTACGGAATGAATGAGACGAAGTGTTAAGTCCTTTATTAGATGAGAAGGGTCCTGATCGCCTGGTCAGCTGGCAATGGGCGGAAGTCAATTGGAAGAACCCGGTCCAAATCTCGGAACACAAAGGAGAGAATTTGGGTTGCGACGCATACATGACTGAAAGCGAAACGCATCCAGTAGCCAGTCCTTCTCAGGACTCAAGAACACATGATAACGGCCGGGGAGTCACCTGACCAAAACGTTGCATGCATGCTAGCACATCAGGCGGGGACGACAGTCAATTTTGTCGCCCGTGATACTATCGCCTCTTCCCAATCCTCCGGTATAAACACCACATTGTCCCAGCTGTACAAAAGGGGCAAGAGACATAATTTCTGGTGCATCATGTCTGTGTCATCATCATTTAAATTGCACGCAAAAGCATGCCAATCTGATTCGGTGGGCAGCGTACGTCCCGATGCCCCGCGCCAAGCCACTCATCATCCGCGGAGGCAAGCGTGCCACGCGAACGGGTTTGCGCGTTTCACAGCCGCATAGTCGAACAACATTCTCAGTGTGCTTCAGGCGAACACGGAATGCAAATGAGTGGCGTATTTTGGTTTATTGCGCGATACAACCGTACCGCCATTTTTCATCTAGCACGTGAGCGTTCAAATACATAACAGCCAGCCATTGGACACCCGTACACGTTTCAATGTAAACCCATATACCACGGCTTCCCGGTACGTCAGTAAAACCAAGCCCTATCAGACCTGAGAGTCATCACCTGAAGGCATCACTCACGTTCACCAAATGAAAGCCGTCAGCGCGATCCTACACACTACCACGCCAGAGCGCAGACCCTGTTTGCCAGTGGAAAAACTACGCGCACAATAAGCGTACATGACCCAATACGCAGCAGCGTCGACCTAATCAAAGTTAGTATTCCAATACCTCAGTAAAAACAACCTGCGGTAAAAATGTCTGCACGCTGTATACCGCATCGCACAAACGCTGACAGATCAGTCAAGCCGACGGCGCGGTCAGTCCTATGGGACTACTCGACAGACGACTGGTGCTGTTGCCGCCACATCACCGGGACAGCCTTCAGCCGGTCGGGCAGTGGTAGCACGTCACGGGTAAGGCAAAGCTCGACGCGTCACTCCCGGAGCCAGGGAGGCGGACGTCAGGGCGGAAGGCGCTGCAGCCCAGCTGTCGCCGCGGGCGTACGGGACACTGCGGCGCACTGGCCGTCGGGCTGTGCCAGCCGTGAGCCGGCACAGGCAGCTCACGTCGCAGCCCCGTCCTGACCTGGGCGGGGCGGCGGACGCGCCGCACACCGCCGGCGCCCCTCCGCTCAGCATGAGCCGGCGGACGCGTCGCCGGCCTGCTGCTCCGCCCAGGGCAGCAGGCTCTCGTGCAGACCCTGGGCCAGCGGCACGTGCTGGCCGATGCCCAGCCGGCGCAGGCCGCTCGTGTCCAGTCGGCTGTCCATAGGGCGGCGGGTACCGGACGTTGGCGGCGTGCGGCATGCCGACACGTGGTCCAGCGGCAGCCCGAACAGTGCTGCCATCTGCTGCACCAGGGTGTACTTGGTGACTGGCTCCTGGCCGCTCCATTGGAAGATGCCGAAGACCCCGTCGCGGTCCTGCGCACCAGCACTGGTGTGAACCAGCCAGCCCGCAAAGACGGACGGTGCCAGCAACTGGGCCGAGGTGTGTGGCCGCAACACGCACTGTAACGACGTTGTCACTCCGCGCGTGCGGGACGGATGAGAAAGCAAGTGACTGCTGATTAGTACTATCCACAAAACACATCAAGTGAGCACCGATAAGTCTCAGCACAAACCGTTTAAGATCTGTGTATATGTTGCATACGCACTGTCACAAACGCAAGGCGTGCGTCGGTCATATGCCAGGCGCATCCGTCAGGCCACAGTCGTCCTAGCCGGCACCGCCCGTGACGCGTCCGTCGCCGGCCACTAACCTGGCGTTGTTTCTCGATCAGCTGGCGGCACATGGCGGCCACGTCGCGCACGTGGGCCGGGTAGCGCACCTCCAGGTCGGAGACAGTGTAGCCGCCGGCCGGCGGGTTCAGCAGGGCGCCGAATAGGACCGTCACAGCCGACTCCGCCAGGTACTCCACCGGCCCGTACAGGATCGGCACGCGCAGCACCAGCGAGCCTGGCGGACGCGCGTGACGTCACGCCCCCGGTCAGTGACCCAGTCGACCCGCGCGTGACCGTCAGGTGTAGCTCTAACCAACTTCGCGGACACGTATGACGTCACAGCCCAGCTGGCGCTCCGCCGGTCCGTGCAGGGTGGGCACGGTTAGCGCCAGCAGGCCCGGCATGCACCCGTAACGCCACAAACAGGCTGGTTTGACAGCTACGCTACCATCACAGAACATTTCAAAGTAAGAGATCGACGCCCGCAATATCAGTTGGCCTGTTGAGCGAGCTTGATACAACAGCTCACCTGCCTTGTCCGGGTATGTGCTTCAGCGGCACAGTGTAGTACACAGAATCAGCACGCGAGATATCTGCTAGTCCAGCAACTGAACCACTTGTAAAGTTACAGCTCGGTCAGAGTGCGACAGTCCAAGCCAGCTCCTGTTCTGGGTCGCACGAAGACTGTACTATTAATAATCGATTGCTAAGAATTTCAGGCGTTTCTTTTTCACGCCCAGAGTACACCTCGCAGACAGGCAGAACCCACGCATGTACTATACCAACAACGAACGGGTCACCTCAGATTCACTGGAGCACTTATATCTTGCTTAACACAGATCTGCACTGCATTCGCCCATTTGGCAATGCTCGGGGATTTGCATCCACTCTCCAGCTGGCGCGCCAGGCGCCTCGGCGGTCCCGCGTTTCGGTTGCGCCTCCGCGGCCGCCGCTAACCATGACTCGCCTGGGCAGTGTTTGAGGGTGGCCTGCTCTCCCTCGTACTTGGTCTGGCCGTACAGGTTGAGCGGGTTGGGCTGATCGTCGGCCATGTGCGGCGGCGAGACGCCGTCGAACACGTAGTCAGTGCTGATGTACAGCAGCTGTGCCTTTAGCTCCGCTGGAACACGTCGCAACGCGGGCCTTCGCGTTAGCTTGAACTGGTTGCAAACATATTCCCTGCCAATGCGGGCATGAGTTGACATCAAATAGTGAGCTGGTTTTCACAACAACCATTGTCTGTCGAAGGAATGGAAGAGTGTGGGACAGCATGCGCACGATGACGTGGCGTCACATACCGGCCAACTCCGCGAGGACCTGAGGCACGTGCACGTTCATCCGGCGTGCTCCCTCGGCGTCGCCCTCCACCTGGTCCGGCTGGCGGTACGCAGCCGAGTGGATGATGACATCAGGCCTCAGCTCGCGCACTTTGGAGCGCAGTGCGTCACTATCCAGCAGGTCTAATGCGAGCAGGCCTGGTGACACACTGCAGACAGCAGCAGGTCAGCAGCATGGCCATCGAGCATCTCATAGTACACCAAATGCTTTGATGCACCATATGGTTTGCAACATGCAAAAAAAGCTTGAAATACCACTGCAGCCCTGCATGTGCAGGATCATCTGTTCCTGGGTATAGAGTGATTTATGTCTTCAGGGGTATGCTTTGTTCCTTTCCAGTCAGGTAAGGTCATGATTTGACATGACAAGAAGTGAATGACAGAATCTTTGGCCCCTGACAGAGAAAATATTTTAATATGGTTCATTGCTGTGTTCTCTAACTCCAAGACATAATTTAACTGTAAAAGCCTAGCATCATTACTGGAAGGGGCCAAATGATCCCAGTTAAGAGTAAAATTCAGCGAACAATTGTGGCTAATCAAAAATAAAACTGCCTAGATGATGAATTTATCATGTTAGCAATTAAAGCCATTTACTTTAAATCCCTTAAACTTCAGATGGTCAGTTAATCCTTCAGCTTGTTATGAACAAGACTTCAGATGAGGTATAACCTTGGTACAAGCAGGCTTAACATCTGTACATAATTCAGCATGTTGTTTTGTTTTGATGGATCATGCTGATGTCAATCTTTACACCTGAATGTTTTTGTTTGAAAGTTTGTGTTGTAATGGAATATGACATCAGAAAGACACAAAAGGTCACTGATATTGGTACCTTAGGTTGCAAGATTACATTGTTGATCAATGTATGCTCTCAACACATTAAATATCATAAATAATCATAGATAGGGGACTGTTGGGAAGGAATTGGTGAATACAATATTGCACATACATACATATATGCACATACCCAAATATTTGAGTATATATATATATATATATAAGCTCACATGTACATATATATGTTTATATATATATATATATATACATATATATACTTATGCAACTCACCGGCTCTTTGCTAATCCAAACACGGTGAAGCCATTTTCTTTAAAATCTTTGACAAGTGCTCTTCCCAGTAGTCCCGATGCTCCAGTTATCACCACTCTAGTCATTTTTAGCTGAAAAACGAGGTATCGTCAATGTCCCTCCAGTACTACCCGTCCTTTAAGAAGATAAATGGGTAACCGCCGCGTAGGTCTCGCATTTACTAAACCGTTCTCAGTCAATAGAATCGAGAACGAAGCTAATAACATACTGACATCAATAGGTACACAAGCCATATTCCAGCACCTCAGGCATCTTCTTATGGCTCCATGCCATTATTAATGAAAAATTCCCTATTTTATGGCAATAAATAGTACTTAGCCTCACCCCGTCACCAGCCCCGCCCCCTTCCGACACATAAACATGTAGTACGGCGGTCAACTGATCATGCAGATAGTGAAGGTCACAAATATTTTCAGCTGACTGTAATATGACGTCACATAACCACAGAATTCTGCCAACCTGGGCAGCGTTCCCCTTTGGCGAAGTACCTTCCCGAGTACCTACCTACCTATGACGTCGTAAAGCCCTACGTCATGCACAGGCTACTATAGCCCAAGCCGCAGGAGGTGTCGTGACGCACTTGCCTCTGACGCTATAAGTTGCAACTTGTGGACGGCGTTTGGTTCTCTGAAACGGGACTCTGGTGCTCGTTTCGAACGGGACTTCACTGTACCGGATAGAACCGGACGGGATGGAGCGGAGCCAGATGGGATCAGATAGAGCTGGAAAGACCGAACACTTATCGGACTCTGGCTTCTATTTGATTTGGTCGATCCCTCGACATCGCATCATGCAATGCTGACCGGCCGGCGGAGCGGCGAATTGTAAAGCTACGGCGTCGAAGTTAAAATATATTTACACGTGCGCGGTGAGTGCGGCCATTTCCACACGACAGAGACAGTGGCTCGGAGAACGACTTGAGGCAAAACTAATGTCGTTAAAAGGACAGAATGACTGGTCTGCGCATGCCCTCGATTTATGCCGCTCAGATTCTTTCTGTGAGGGTCTTTGACTGTCATTTAAGCAGCAAATGATCAGGCGGCACAGCGGCTGGAGCGACGTGGGGGAGGGGTAATACATGGGGCACGTACTGCACCGTCCGCGCTAAGAGGTGCGTGGAGGCCCGTTAATGTCACAAAACAATTAAAGCTCTAAAAAATAATAAATCTAAACTCATACATTTTGCATGGAACGCCCCATACTAATTAGAAACACCTGCCATTGTAACACAGCATCAGAGGTGTGCAGCCGCGCGCAGAAGTACCGTCAGGGCCGCTCCGCACGGACGCTAGTCATCAGAGCGGCTCTGACGGCCTTCAGAATTCCAACAGCTGACGGCGTGGCCAAACCCTGTCTCGAAGAGCCACACGGCGGTGCCACCGGAGGCCCCGACTCCAAGCGAGACCCGGCTGTGGCCCACCGACCGCGCCTCGCTCGATCAGCCGCCGCCCTGGCCTGGCCCACGCGCCGGCGTCGGCTGCGGTCGCACGTCCACGGCTTCAGTCGAGTGCTGACTGGCTGGCTGGTTGGAGCAGGCTGGGCGAATGCACTGACGCCTTCTCACATACGCAGGTAGGCGGTTTCAGCACGTGCAGTTCAAGTCAGGTGCCACGCGCAGCTTGCTTCGGCTACCGGACGGCGGAGGGTGGTTCGCTCTCTCTACTATATGCTCCTATGCTCCTTAAATACTCCGCAGTCCGTGACGTGACTGTGCGTGCTGCATAGACTGTATGACTAAGATAGACTGTATGACTAAGATAGACTGTATGACTAAGATAGACTGTATGACTAAGATAGACTGTATGACTAAGATAGACTGTATGACTAAGATAGACTGTATGACTAAGATAGACTGTATGACTAAGATAGACTGTATGACTAAGATAGACTGTATGACTAAGCCAAGCAAAATGTAAACGTTCATAGCTTCGGAAGCCCGTATAACATTGCATGTCAACCCGACTCCTGCAGCGTTTCGTTGTGCTTGAAACTGAATGTTTGCATTGTGACTACTTTTCGTATCTATATTACATAAGATGCATCAGTAACTTTTAATACCAACGCGTACGGCCCACATTTTGAAGCCATGCAACCCTCACAACCAAACAGAAAACAGCAGCCTATTAAACCAGATCGATCGGCGGTTTTGTTGTAGGAGAGGAAAGGTTTTAACTTATTTACTTGACGGCTTAAATCATATTGCACTTAAAAGTAAAAATGGGGTTTATGTCACTCCGCGCCCCTTTCGAAAATCAGTCTGCTGACCGTACAAGGTAGCCTAGCGTTTGGTCCGACTCACAACGTTTTTGATGCACTGTCCAGCTGCAAAATTTTTGATGAACGATATTTTGCTCATGCGAATGCCCGCGGCGTTGCTCGGTAAACATTTAATATGACAGGTTTATCTATGGGTGACAAACCATGCTTAGCTTAGTGTCATTACCATGTATAAGGCACGAAGACAGGCACTGTGTTTGACGCGCAAATGCTGACATTGTATTAGACCCGCTGACCATGTTCCTTTGACTGCATACACTGCTTACCGTGATGCCACCATCACCATGTGCAATTTTTCTGAGCTGCTTCTACCCTTCCAACTCACCTAAAAGCCCCTGTATAGATGCATTCAGATACGCATGTGAAATAAAATATTTATTTCATGCGTGCTATCTGTGAGCGTAACACCAGTCAACACCATCTCGTCACGTAATTAACAATCTGGCCCAAGACTAAAGGAAAGATCGTTGACAGTTTGGCGTACTTCTATTCGTAGACGTCGAAAACCATCTTCCACTCTCTCCGTATGCAGGCTGCGGGCGACGTCAGTGAGGAGACGTGAGGAGACGTCAGTCAGGAGACGTTAGGAGATGTCACCTTTAAGTGTATCGGGTCCAATACAGAAGCTGTCAGGAAGCAGAACTGTACAGGACAGTAGCGAACAATTTGGGCGTTTGGAGTGTTTTTAAATATTTCTCTCTTGTCAAAAAGGGACCTTCGCTGTTCCGAATTGCAGCCTTAAAGTGGAAGCAGAGTTTCTGCACCCAGAGCAAGTACCACTTCCCAACTCAAAGTCACATAAAAAAGAACGCAACGATGAATCAGAACAAATAGGTTTTCATCCTGATTATACAGTCAAATACCAGACCCTGTCACCGTCGCGTTGTACCACCGCATTCACAGGCCGATACAGAACTAGGCAGACATGCCGAGATTTTTCCTGGACAAATGACCATAAAATAGATCAGAACGATGATCAAAGTACACCGTGAAAAATGCTTACGCCTGGAAACCAAGTTATTGATTTATTAGTCATTGGGTCATAGCAAGTGATGTCACGAAAAAGTTTGGTTCCAGAACACATATACTGGGGAGACGCTTCTTAAACGAGCCTGCTGAGACAACCGACAGCAGAAACGCCTGGATCGGTTGAAGGGAATGTTTCCCATCTGAAGATATTGCAGCAAGCATAAGCTATGATGAAACCGGCTCAGTTATAACTATTGGCTTGTTTTTTTAAGTGGAAAAGAATGCTCTACACAGCACAATTCTCTGTTTAGTAAGTATGCTCCTCAATGTGTCATTGTTTTATTAAAACTAAAAAAGTACTAAAAAATCAGACTTGGTTAGCTATGCTCCCAAGAAACCCGCGGAATGTAACCCCTGCAAGTGTATTTACGAAACCTCAAAAACCCAGGTGTGCGAGATGTGTACCATGACCGTGTCTGGCTGCTGCACGATCTGTTTTTTGTGCTTTTCTAACACTTGTTGGCATTTCCCTCCGTCCTAAAGTGTAACGCCCACTGTTAGTAGAACTCCCGTACAACCGCGAAATGTCTCTTCATAGGCATTTGCCTCAAGCGAACAGCACGGCAGTCGGCTAAAGCTCAGCGTCTGCCGCCATTTCCAGACGGCGCCCGAGGCTGCCGCTCTGCCGCGATGTCGTGGAGAGCGCTGGTCAACCACGTGACCCAGCGGGCCCGCGGCGGCAGTCCTGACGGCGCCGACGTTGAGGGGATGCCCGCTGGCGCGTGGGCGCGAGCCGTCGGCCCGGCGGTGAGTGGCCGCCAGCGATCAGCCATCCGGCACCGCTGCTGCCAGATCTCGGTCCATCGCAGGGCGGCCGCGTCCCGCCGGTTCCCGCAATCGTTTAGTGGAGGCCCTCCCCCGCCCACACCCTCGGTTCATCATGCTTTGCGGGTTGCTCGGACGTTTCTTCCCCCCCCCCCCTCCCCGTCCCCTCTTTGTTTCTTATGGCACCACTTCCCAACGAGTGCCGTCGGCAACCCATATTTTTTTACGGGCCCAGTGGCTACTACAACTATCTATATCTCTATTCGTTTCGCATGGTGATGTTAGGTGAGGCCAAAATGATCACTAACGTCATGGTAGATTTGAGCACTATTGGCCTTGGAGGTTGTACTACGTGCGATGCTCTCATACATAGACGTAGGCCATGTCATTGGCATGACAAGCGTCGGTGACAAATAGCAGCATTCAAGCAGTTTTGTCGATCCGCTGACGAATAATGCATGAAGGAGCGGTGTTGTACAGCACAGCAGATCATAATCGCGTGGCCGGCTAAACAAATACAAACAGGCACAAAGGTTTTCACTTCTTTAAGTTTCCTACATTTTTTAGGGACGTTGGTAGGGACTAGCAAGTAGCGCGATACTCATCCAAGTCAGTCAAAAATGTCGTAAGAATTTCCCCATGATTGACAAAGAGCCTTTCTGTATGTCGGCTGCCTACTCTTTACAGCGAAAATGTGCTACAGATGTTCGGTTTCAGCATTGTAGAACATGATGGCACGGCATTTGAAGCGCAGAAGAGGGAAACGTGACAACATTTGTTGTGTTCTGCATAATTGGGTTGAAATATTTTGACGATTACATCTTTGTCTTAATGTAGATAAAATGTAGCTGACAACGTCTTTACACGCTTATGTCCTTAACATCACTCGTGATATTAGATCTCAGTTATCAATTCTGTACTTTCAACTTCAGCCCCCGGAGGCTTCGCGTTAAGCGTGACGTTGGAACATGTCTGCCATGTCAGACTTTGCGGGATCTGACATTGCTCCCCGGATGTTGCGTAAAACCGAGAAACGTCTGAAAACTTTGCCTCCCACAACTTTCGACAGGCGGCGAAATAATTCCTCCCTTGAAACGGATACAGGGTCCAGGAGCCGTTTCGTCTCCAGTAAAAAGCATAAACCGGCCAGAAACTGCTGAAACGCTTTACAAACAGCACAAGTGCAGCCACGTGGTTTAGCGAAAACACTCTTTCGTCTCCTCCTCCCTCTGACATTAACTTTAGCAAGCTAGGGTCCAATGAATGCGCGGTTCCCAGTCCGCCCCTGTCTGACGCTGACACTGATATCAACTACAGCTGAGCAAGGACGAGATATCTGCCTGATCTTTGTGTCTGACCGGCACTGGTCCGCCTTCAGGTGCGGCCGGGACCGGAAGATGAGAACCAGCCGTCGGCCCTGTCACTGAGCGTTGTGACACAAAAGTGGCGCGCATTGCTGCGCCGCCGGCCCGCCAAGAGTGCCGCTGCTTCCGGCGGTTCGGCCTCCAGTGACGGCCGGGTGTGCTTCGTCAAAACTAGCCCGTACCGCATCCTCAGGGTGAGTGCCGGCCTACCGCTGCCAGCGCGCGCTCTATGCACTGTCTCGGTTAGAGACGTGAGAGCACTGTCGCACCCGACGTTGCAGCAGCACCGCGACTCCACACATCGTTAGATTCACCTTTCCCTCAGTGTGCGGGTCTGTCCTGCGTCTGAAAACTTCAGCTCGCTTCTGTCCGGCTAATGCCCCTGTCACAGGAGGATGGAAAGGGGGGGGGGGGGGGCGTCTTAAATCTCCAGTAGAGCGGCACCACCAGGTCTAATTACGGGTGAATCCAGGCTTTTGTCAAGGGAGTATTCACACTTCTCTTTCGTGCCCACTGGAACTTAGTGCGCTACCACCCTTTACAAAACGTGTCCGGATCTCGGCCACCTCATTCTCGAATCCTTATTTTTTATCGGGAAAGCATCCTCCTTTGGGCAAGGACAAAGAAGACATGGTAGGCTAGACATGGCAGGTAAGTATGCACATGACGCACATAATTTCTCCAGGGAATAATAGATCCTTCCATCCTGAGCTAAGTATTCCGGAAAGGATATAGCAAAGTTGGCTGCTAAAAACCTCACATTCCCAAAGCCGCATTGCGCCTCGAAATTAGTCACTGGTAAATGCCATAGCGGAGAAATCAAAGCCATAGTTTGACGCTTCGCTGAACTCGCGAGATATTAGTTTGTGTTGACATATCTTTTTTTCGAAACAGTGTACTTCAAGCTTTCGTGACATTCTTTTACACAAACATTTTGACAAATTATTGTGTTGCAAACATTACAGAACACAAACGTTGGAAACAGCGTTACGCAAAAAAAACGCGAAAAAGTGTTACTCTCGTAGTGGTGAGCAGGAGCCAAATGAGATTCTTCCCACTGGAGCGGCTACTTCAAATAGGAATCCATAGCTACTCAGAAGTATTTCGTGAAAACTAGCATTACTGATCAAGTTGCACGCGTCCGGTCTAGCGATAAATGAAAAGTACAGAAAGGTGGCACACTCCCTTTAGCTTATTTGCCACTGAAATGCATCCACAATGTTTCATTCCATTTCAGAAGAGAAATCCGTACTATCCCTTTGAATGGATGGCTCCATCGCATGAGTCCAGTCCCGTTCCGTTCAGTTCAGACCCATTATCAGGAGTTTCCACACAACATAGAATGGTTTTAACTTTGAGCACCCCTAACAGGTCATCAGGCGACAGTGGCTTTTTAGCAACACGAGGGTTGGTTCATAAGCTGTCAATATCATTCACCATAAGCTTCACAACAACTGGAAGTCATTCGACATAAGCTGTCGGTATGTGGTATCTATATGCTGTGCCAACTTTCTTACAACAAATATGGCCGGCGCACTGACCTTAATTCCAAAGAACGGCAGAACCGGCTTCACTAAAGTTTGTGATACCGCGCCTGCATACAAGCTTGAATCCCTAACGCGGAACACCGCCACCAAATTGACTGTGACAGGTTGGGCGCGGTACAGATGATTTAGGTTTGCTTTCGTTGATCGAGATCCGGTATTGCAAACTAACATACTGGTTACCAATAAAGAAATTTGGGGAACCACGGCGGCCGAGGACACGTTTTTTGTGGAACGTATCTACCACATGTCGATACCAAACAAGCATTTTACCTAAAAAGCCAGCCTTTTCCACAAAACGAGCAAAAAGGCGGGACAGCCGCCCGTTCGAAGATGAGTCTTTAACTGAAGCTGACAAATTGTAGAGGATTGATATAAAATTTAGGTTAGGAAATGTATGTATTACTACACATTTGTATCGTTACATTTCCATTTTACAAGTAGGGACAACCCTTTGATGTGTGCACCGAAAAGTGAAGGTGGGATCTGTCCACCCTCTTTTTTCTCAAACAGTCTAAAAGCTGGAATTTGCCAGCACAGTATTGTCGATGCACCCTGTAACAGCAGAGTGAGGCAGCGATTCATTTCAAACCAACACTGTCGACCGATAACTGCTTTCATTGCAGTCTTGCAGATTCGGGACGTCCGCCAATGCGACCGCCGGCCGGTCGCACCTCCGAGCGGACAGTCGCGGCGCGGCAGGGCCACCGTCAACTGGGGGCACACGTTCGCCGTGTAGTGCCCATTCGTGACGCTGTTCTCAGAAGGTGGTGTGTCGCTGGGCAAGCCCTCGCTCAGGTTCGCCCTGAGACCCCATCACGCCAGGATATTAGCCATTCGTCGACAGCTGGGACCGCCGTTCACGGAAGGCCACCCGGACTCGCAAACAAACGGGAGGCCGTGAACACTTCATTGAGTCATTCCACGAAAAGTGAACACGGCTAGGTGCATTTCAACACGCACCCTCTTTACCTTTGATGAGGACAAGCCTATGAAGTAATCGTAGGTCGCATACGGTTTTGAAAGTTTTAGAGCCGTACAGTGCACCGGTAAGGAACTAAGAGCAGGTAAACGTAGACGATGACGACACGAACCCTATTTTCGATTTTCTCCAGCAAAAACAGTTTGCGGAAAATATGGTTTGGGAAAAGTGTATCGGAATGCTTCACACCCATATTTTCTGAAGCATGGATCAATATAGCAGTCGTGTTAAATAAGGCGTAAAAGTGTATCAGTTGTACGTTTGATCTCGGTTTCTAAATAGCATGGTCTCGTCGGTTAAAAAAGCGGCGGGCAATTACCAATGGGCAATTGACGGACAATTAACTTCCCGGCGGCATTTTTCTGGGGTGGTGTGGTGTAATGGAAGATAGTTCGGAAGAGGTACTGTTGCGGGTGTCCAACACGCGATTTGCATCCCAATTTTTAGCACCCGCTCGTGGAATTTCGACTCCCCAGGAAAGACAACGTTGAAATGAACGAATGATCTTGGGGAGTTGGATAGCCGCATTTCCCAAATGACATAGATGAGTCGGATAGGTAAGAATGTGCACCAGTGAGAAACAGTTCTAGATGCATATCTAGAATAGCAGTCATTACGTTTGAATAAAGAGCGTTAACCTCTATCTCTACACACACACACATATATATATCGGATTTGACATACATATATATGTGTGTGACGAACGACCCTCCGTTCATCGGGCTTGTTTTCCAGAAAAAGTTCCCGAATATGCCCTGAGCTTGCCCCCCCCCCCCCCCCATCTGTTTAACGTTCCTACGCCTATGGACGAGTCCGCCGATCGCACGCGGTGGACGACCACTGTCACATAAGAATTAAACAAGGAGCATGCTTCTCTAAGTTTAATGTCGCCTCGTGACATATGGTCATAATTATGGGCATACAAAGCCAAAAAAGTGTGATTTTCAGGAAAAACTGACTTAACCTGCCATAATGGAGTCAATCATTTGCCTAGCAACATAAAACGCGTTACTGATTGCGAGACCTCGTTGAGCCCAAACTGCTATTGTTTTTTTTTTCGCGAGGCCTTATTGCTCTTAGTTTGAAAACAGCAGATCGGAGTCGCACCGATGAACCTTGCAGTCCGCGTCATGAAAAAGGGCGAATCAGGGTGAGGGTCAAAACATAATACAATATTATTGTAGTGGTTTGCATGAGACATGGTCCAGCAAATAGTATTACTGCCTATAGCAAGCCAGCTATATCTCAGAACATTAAGGAAGGAGTATGATAAAAACACGCATATCTGCGCGTGACCAGGTATTTATAGCCAAATCCTAGGACCTCTTCGTAAATACATTGGCTATAGGGGCTTTACTTGAGGCCTATTTCACCGGTTGATTATAACAATACGCCTAATAAGCGGCAATGACCTTCATCATTCAGACCTGATTTATTTTGTCATGACAAATCACGCTCATCATGAATTGGGCGGACAAGCTGTTTGGATCCACAGACATTGTTAGCGGGTGCAAAGTCGCATGCTGGGGTATTGTCTCTTAAAGGGCATTAAGTTCCGTCGCATCTCATAAAGTGCATTAGGTTCCGGATGTGTGACCGCTCCTGCCCCTAACTTCTCGCGATTTGATGCGACCACAGACAATCAATATTTCAACAATCGTCTTGCAAGGCGGGTTAATGAGCCCCAGAAGTGTGGAGACGAGGCTTCACCACTCAGCTGGATCGTATCAAGAATCCGCAATCGGCAGCAGTGAGGCCGATATACGCTACAGCGCGACCAAATCCGAGTGTCAGCCGTTGCAAACAGCCGGCGTTTGAACGAGCAATGAGTAGAAATATATATATATATATATATATATATATATATATATATATATATATATACATATATATATATATATATATATATATATATATATATATATATATATACATATATATGTGTTGTGTGTGTGTGTGTGTGTGTAGTGTGTGTGTGTGTGTGTTTATGTGTGTGTGTGTGTGTGGTGTGTGTGTGTGTGGGTGTGTGTGTGTGTGTGTGTGTGTGTGTGTGTGTGTGTGTGTGTGGTGTGTGTGTGTGTGTGGTGTGTGTGTGTGTGTGTGTGGTGTGGTGTGTGTGTGTGTGTGTGTGTGGTGTGTGTGTGTGGGTGTGTTGTGTGTGGGTGTGTAGTGTGTGGTGTGTGTGTGTGGTGTGTGTGTGTGTGTGTGTGTGTGTGTGTGTGTGTGTGTGTGTGTGTGTGTGTGTGTGGTGTGTGTTGTGTGTGTGTGTGGTGTGTGTGTGTGTGTGTGTGTGTGTGTGTGTGTGTGTGTGTGTGTGTGTGTGTGTGTGTGTGTGTGATGTGTGTGTGTGTGTGTGTGTGTGTGTGTGTGTGTGTGTGTGTGTGTGTGTGTGTGTGTGTGTGTGTGTGTGTGTGTGTGTGTGTGTGTGTGTGTGTGTGTGTGTGTGTGTGTGTGGTGTGTGTGTGTGTGTGTGTGTGTGTGTGTGTGTGGTGTGTGTGTGTGTGTGTGTGTGTGTGTGTGTGTGTGTGTGTGTGTGTGTGTGTGTGTGCATCTGGCCATTCCGGTAAGATATTATGATTTACCGGGTTAACACACGATGCTTATTAATTACGTTGCTGACCTGCAAGGTCTGCTCTACTAGAGTAATTTTGCGCGGACAGACTGGCAATGGCATCAAATGGCTGGGGACGTTTCGTGCCCCATGATTGCAACGTAAATGGACTGTTAGGCCACCCGTTCTGGAGTCAGTGACGTATGTGGCTCGCTGCGCACGGTTGTGTTGCGGCGAAGTGGGGTATGGCCCACTCTCTTCACCCTTTTACCACTGGCAGACCCTGTCCCGATCCCACCATCTCAGAGTGCTTCGTCTGAATCGTCCCGACATGGTGAACAGCAGGCTGATAGCGAAGGGCCAGACGGAAATCGAAGTGAGAAGCTGTGCTGTCTTCACACTCAGACAGCGGGCTGTGCTGACGTAGACCTAGACAGCGGGCTGTGCTGACGTAGGCCCAGACAGCGGGCTGTGCTGTCTTCCCACCCAGACAGCGGGCTGTGCTGACGTAGACCCAGAGGTGGGTTGTGCTGTCGTCAGTCCTAGACAGCGGGTTGTGCTGTCGTCAGTCCTAGACAGCGGGCTGTGCTGTCGTCAGTCCTAGACAGCGGACTGTGCTGTCGTCAGCCCTAGACAGCGGGTTGTGCTGTCGTCAGTCCTAGACAGCGGGTTGTGCTGTCGTCAGTCCTAGACAGCGGGTTGTGCTGTCGTCAGTCCTAGACAGCGGGCTGTGCTGTCATCAGTCCTAGGCAGCGGGCTGTGCTGTCGTCAGTCCTAGACAGCGGGGACCGCTGACCACTGACAGCCAACCGGCCGATCCGGCGCCGGGGCCGTGCTGCGGGAACATGGCAGCACGGGGCGACTGAAACAGGGCTTTGACATTCATGAACTCTTATATTGCCGTTGTCCATGTTAATTCACGTCGAAAAACGAACTCAAGGGGGTGGACAGATATATCTAGGTCGACGGACCACTATTTAGGTGGATAATGCTGAGGTATTTATACCTGTCATTAGAGTTGCTTATTGTATTCAGAGAATGAAAAGGATCATGGTGATGAGGATGAGGATAAGTATGTTCACGCATGCGGTGAACACTGTACATCATTGCATGGGGTGGTATACACTAGATCGTCATTTTTGTCGCTTATTAAAATGCAAACTCGAAGCAGTCTTTTAAAATTTTTGTCACCATGACCTTTGGAAGGTCAAACAAGGTCACTGACCTCAAACGAGTATGTAGCCTTTTGCTTAGACCAAGTATTTAGCTTCTGGGGACACTTCGACCAACCTGGGGTTTGATCCTGTTTGAGCTTATTTAACCCGAAGGCCGCGGCCTAAGACCCTCAAACTTTGACCACAGTGAGTTCACATACAGACCAACACACCCTGTGCATTTTGTGCCTCGAGCTTTCTTAGTTTCTGAAGTGTCAGGCGGTCAAATTGACCCCCCACTCGAGCAAAGGGTGTGCAGCCGGCCACCCGGGCGCGTATCAATTGGAGCTGCTTATAGTCGCTCAGAGGACTGATTTTAGTACACGCTACAACCACGACCAATACCCCTTAGCATTACTCGGATACGGCATGTTGTGGGGTGAACACTGTATAACCGCATGGGGCGGTATATATCATAGATTTGCATTGATGATGACATTCAAAACGAGCAATCACAGGTTATGACTTAACACTTGAACATGAAAACAATCACTGACTATAAGGAATACCAATTTTCAGATGTTCAGATATCTGCGATCAGGATAAATACGATAACAAATGCTTTCATACAAATCGGCGCCATTTTGAATCTAACATCCCAAATGCAACGCTGTGTGGCAGTGAATTAAAAGGCACTTTGGAAAACCACATCACCAAACTTGCATATCACTTCATGTGCACTCGCTTGTGACTGAAAGGCATCCGTTTTCGGTCACGATGTCCAGCATTGTTGCGGAGGTGTTGTTTACAAACGCGTTTCCAGGCGTCTTTTCGTTCCCATCGAGGGAGGGGGTTACATGTGTCTCATACCCCCTGGGTATCCACCCCCGGTAGCACATTCTTTTTGTGGCAGATTGTTGTACGTATCACATACAAATTGTGTGATGTAGCCGCTGAGCGCGGTGACCACGCCGCTGACAAATATGCTCACTAAAAGGCGAACGTGGCTGTTGGTTTCACTTTGCCGCACAAAAATTTTGACGCAAAGCAAGAGGGGAGGGTCTGCCACTTTCAGTAACATATCCAAAATGGTCGTGCAACAATTCATGAGGCTAGAATATTGCCAAGTGCGTGCGTTCATGTGCAGCATTTCGGGTTCTCATGGTCGCCATGTTATAAGACTTACTGTACAGTGCAGGAAGGCAAGGCATGGAGGAATGTTTGCTTCCTGCATGATCTATCCTCGTCTTTTTGGCAGATGCTCGTCACATAAAATGCTTTACACGGACGCAAGGAGTGTTCAAGTGCATGCCATTTTTATTTCTCTTTAGTTTCAGACCAGCATAAATCGATTAGCAATAGAAAGATCCAATATGAGGCTAAAGCGGATCCGGTCGGGACTGATCAGGCTTACGCCGCAGTATTTGAACGTCGCATCGTGTTCACCACCGTCTTCTTGTGTTATGTTAAGGATCATGTTGAATAATGCAATGTTCAGAAATCTCGGATTCCCTCGCAAGGTACCATCGCTGATGTCCAGTTTTCTCGCTTCTGCACGGAAACGAGCTGATCATGATTATGGCTTGGGTTTCGTGCTGTGATTTTTGATGACGTCGATGACGCCTCCTTTCGCCGAATTTTGCAATGATATTATATGAATGAAATCTTTTATTAAAAATATCGTTGGCCAACACGTGATAGCAGGCTCTTCGAAGCGAAGCCGGCATCACGTATGTTGCAAGGGTTCCAAGCGTTTTTGTTTTTTTCTGAGGATACTGTGACATAAAATGAAACAAGGCGCAGCTACCCCGATTGGTTCCCATTTGCCTCCATGGCTCATTCAAATGAGCCCAAAAGACGCCCGTTGCGAAGAACGATTTGTCTCGTCGGCGACATACAAAGCTTTCACTGAAGGTTGACGAATGGGCCTAAAGACGCCCGTCGCGAAGAGTTAGCTATCATGAGACACCTCCCTGATCTATAGGCCCAGGTCTGAGTCCCGTCCGTCGCAAATGAAGCTTTCGCTGAAAGTTAACGAATGGGCCCAAAGACGCCCGTCGTGAAGAGTTAGTTATCGTAAGACACCGCTCTGATCTATAGGCTCAGCTCTGAGCCTCGTCCGTCGCAAATAAAACTATCACTGGGGACTGGTAAATGTGCAGCCATTACATTGCAGCGGATCAGCGCCGACGCACCCCTCCTTACACTCCCACTCACACACATACACACACGCACGCATGCACGCACGCACAAGTGGAGGCCGCTCCACGCTGGACCGTATGGTCTGAAACGGGAGAGTCTATTTTCTGGTTCCTATGAACCAATACCGCCGAAAGGCGGCGCCCTGAAGGAAACGACAGAAAAATAATAACGATCGCCAAATCTGAACATCTTACCCTGCCATACTCTTAAAGCGGTGTGAGTCGTACCTAATTTTTCCACGTAGGCTAAGGGTACGTAACCATGCAAACGTACACCGCGTTCCCTCGACATGCAAGTCAAACTCTGTGCGGAAGGGGACGAACAGCACCACTGCCATCCCACTGAATGCTTCGTGCGGTGCACCTGTCATCTTAACGGGAAGGCATTCGAATTTTGACTGGATCTGATTAGAGCCGTTATCGCATGGCGTACGAATTGTCTCCGAACGCCATGATTAGACTGTGGTGATCTCACTTCTTTGCGTCAGCTCATTCCGAGGCGTTACGCATGCAGAGGGTAGGTGCATGTCATGCTCCGATTCCGGCTCGGTCTGCGTCACCAGTCGCCTCCCGACCGCCAGTGCGCCGGCGCTGGCGACCTGAAGACCTTTCGGGACCTGCACCAGGAGGATCCCAGTCGTCTGCAGTTCAGGGATGCGCAGCGAGGCCGATGCCCCGCCCACTACGCGGCGATGGCCAATCAGACCGAGATCATCAAGTACATCGCGTCGGTCGGCGGAGGTAAGTCCCGCAGATCGTTGGGTCTGGCCGGTGTCGTGGCGGTGGCGTCGCGGCCCTAGCCAAGGCCGTATCCACCGTGGCTGGTGTAGGCAGTGTGTAAGCTGCCCAGGGAAACCGGCTATGATCGATACGGCGATCGCGGCCTTTCCGAAAGGAGCCGGTGGCAGTGTCAGCCTCCACGGAGGGCGGGACAACCAGCTGGAACAGATGACGCAGCGTCATGAATATCACGTGGGCGCACGGGAAATATCATTACTAAGCGATTACCTCGGCGGTGTCCGTTGAGTCATGCTTTCGGAAGTCTTTTATTGTGTGAAGCTGTGGCAATCCGTGGTCGAGTGGTAGAATGTAGCGAAAAGTTAATGTCAAGGTCAAGGGTCAAGGTCACGGAAAGCACGTTACCCTAGCGTTTATTCCTTTACCACAAACAAATACGACAAAAGAGGTGTCAAGGTCATGCTCGTGATGTCCACTTTCGACACTCTTGCAAAACTCGCAAGGTCAAAGGTCAAGGTTATACAAAACGGAGTTCCTTGACATTTCTCCGTTGACCAAATGAATGAAACAAAATGGGTACTACAGTGATGCCTGCGGTGTCTTCATTCGATGCATCCAGAAAATATGAAAGTAGAGGGTCGAGGCCACACAGAAGCGGTTCTTTAGCCTCTATTTGTTGAATCAAGAAAGACAATGAAAGTGGCATTATTTTGATGCTCGCGATGTCTACTTTCCTTACGCAAACAAAAACTGGCTGTCAGTGGGATGATGATGATTGGGGTTTTAGGGCGCGTCGACTTCTAGGGTCATTTTGCGCCCATGGCTGTCAAGGTCAAAGGCCACGGTCACACAAAGCGCAGTACCCTGACATTTATTCTTTTAGTTAAGAAACAAACGCTTGTGCGCTTGCTTCGCTGCGCCAAGTGAAAAATTTGGAAATTTTCGTTACGTGTCTTATGCAGTTAGACTCGCGGTTCCAGATGGCCTGGTTGCCGAGATATCGCGCAGTGTGAAAAACCCTCGGGCGCAGGCAGCGCGCGGTGCCGACGGCGTGGCGGCCGCCGACACGAGTGAGCCCATTTCGCTTGCGCTCTCTGCAACGCAGCCGAACCTATTTCATGGGATGAGCGAATGATCGTGGGGTGTGGCCGGTGATTTTTGTCCCTTCTATCAACTGTCAGCCTTTTGAATGATGGCAGCACGCACTGCCGTTGTATCAAACTGTATTGCATTGTATCGAAGAGTGAAAAACGGTCGGTAGCTGCCAAATCAATTTTCCTGGCTCTCGCATACGTGGCGCTGCAATCTGTACCACGTAATTGTTCGATTCTCCATCGATCCATACAGCACGTGCGGCGTGACAATTCATGCAACGCCATTATCGGTGCGATTTCTTGTTAATGCATGCCACTCTCCATAACCTCCGTGCCCTGAGTGCCGAGATGTGGCACAAAGCTTGTGAATCCGTGGAAAAAGCAAAAATCATCTTCCTGGCTCGTGTGTGCCCGACACGTGTAACGTGTCACCCCGCACTTGTGACACATGTGACCATAGAATTTCCCGTTCAATGGCCTATCGCAGCATACCATTCGCAGTGTGTTGCTACGTGCCATAGGAACGGAAATCCCGCGTAAAGCGCAAAAATGCACGAAATCGGCGAAATGCAGTTTCACAGCTTATGTGCACGTGTCACATGACACGTGTGGCGTGACATCGTACACGTTTCAGTAATTACCGGTTAGACCACCTATCGAAGCATGCCAGTCGCTGTGCACTTTATTCTCTGGTTTCTGAGATATCACGAAAACGTGCAAGTCCCTCAAAAGACCGAAATTGTCCTAAATCCATAGTTTAAAGCATGGGCGCCATGACATGTGGCGCTTGTCACGAAACTAATCATCTCGTTCCGTCCATTTATCAATGAAGCGCGCCAATGCCGGGTGCGGTTAGTGCCATAGGTGCCGAAATGTGGCACAAAAGGTGCGAACCCGTGGAGGAGAGCAAAATCCATCTGTGATCCCGTACTGTGTCATACGTGTGACCGTACCATTTCGATTATTAAAAATTGGCATCTTGCAAGTTGTGAAATTTGCAGCGCAACGCTGCGTTGCAGAAATTCGCGATGCGACTGAAAAAGCAGACGCGTCAATTGTGAATGTTGGGAAACAAAGCCCACGCCTGTGCGTGCACGGCAACCGCAACGCACAGCGCGCCGCCGACCGCCATGCCTCATCCAAGGCCATCCCTTTCCCCTTCACGACCCACCGCCGGTCCCCTGCCGGACGGACTGAACAAACGCCTGAATGATCGTGCTTGGCTAATTGAACAAAGTCGAAAGCCCCGCGCGAACGGCCATTTGAACCCTTAACGCCTGGGGCGTACGCCGGGAGTCGGGGCAGCAGCTTGCCGCCGTCGCGGCGAAAATGCCGTCATGCAACCCCTTAGTATAGACCCGTTTGCGAACGACATTTTTAAAATGCGGTCAACAAAGAGTGTAACAGAGACAGGACGAAGCGGCCGACACGCTAATGTAGTTTTCAAAGCTAGATCACGCATAGTTTTGACAGTAGCGGCTTGTATTCAGCTTCGATTTTGAAAACTCGGCCCGTTGCAACTTGTAATGCAATTTACAGCACAACGGTGTGTTGCACAAACTCGCAATGCGCACTGGAAATGTAGCCGCTTCAACTGTAGACGTTGGGAAAGAAAATTCAGAGCTCTACATTCTTTCCGTGCCGAGATATAACGGTAAACGTAAACCCACGTCAAACACGGCCGATTTCAACTTGTCAACACGTGTGCACGTACCACGTGTCACGGGACGCAAAAAGTCTCACCCGATTACGATGGCCCATTCCATGCGCTATCGGACTACGCAAGTTTCACGTCGCTTCGACCCTTGGTTACCGGGATACAGCTCCGGGTAGCGAGGCGTGTCGGACCGTCTGCCGGTCGTCTTCTTGAAACTGGCGTCGCCCGAGTTAACCCTATGGGATTTTGCGCTTTTTTCGCCACGCGCTCAGTTTGCGAAATGCGAAAATTTTACGCGACTCTGTCAAGCGCAGCCGGCGGATCTCGGTCGTGTGCGAATTTTATGCAAAAACTCCCGACTGTTAAGCCTGCAGGTCTACTGACGGACACACACGCATACACTGTTCCTTTAGTAATATAATGATGATGATCATGATGATACGTCACAAATCGGCGACGCCATCTTTGGTAAGACTGAGTGGGACGGCAGGCAGCTCATGCCCTGTTCCTGCAGCCGCCTTACGGAACGGTCCCTCGAACGACTTCGTTCCAGTTGTCACACCATCGAACTCCTTGAACTGCTGCCGCAGACTGAGCTCATCAACATTCGTTTGGCAGATAAATTAGTGGGCGGGTTTTTTGCTGACCAGTTTAGATAGTCGGCAGATGTCGCGAGGGCGTCTTGTTACCATACCCAAGGACGGTCACGCCACCGCCATATTCGCAGGATGCTGCCTAGAATTAGTGAGCTAGCCCATGGGCTTCCTCAAGGCTATAGACACAAGCCTTGCCAGACTGTGGAGTGAAGTGTCCGTGTTTTCTCCACCGGGCTCAGTTGTCACAACCGCGTGCCCCGAAATAAATATGTCGGTGCCCCCTCGCAAAATAGCACGATCCATAGTTCCCTCAACGGGTATTCTGGTGCCGTTAGAATTTGATAAATCTCGGATATGGGAGTACTGAGTCCCTTTTTTGTGCCCTGGAGTTTGTGCGTCTTGAGAAGAAAGGGTACAGGGTCACAAAATGAATGTTGTTGGTACCCCACGCCGAGGGGTTGATCTAGGATTTCTTTAGAAGGAGACACAATGTTGTAGTGACACTGGAATTTGGGCTCCCTGGGAATGACGCTCTGAGACCCCTTTATATAAACCCCTTGAATTTAGCGTCTCTTGCAAATAGAGCGGCGCCCCCAAACGAATGTTGTGCCCCCCCCCCCCCTCCCCCCGCCCAATGAGTGGACGTGACCAGGATTTCGACAAGAGAGACGGCATGGCCAATGCGGTGCCTCTAAAGCTTAGTAGCCCTAAAAAATAAAGGTTTTTGGGAACGTTCACGGCACCCTGGCACCGAGTGCCTCTTGAAATTTAAGGTATGTTGTTCCGATATTATATGTTGCTGCCCCTTGACGTATGTAATAAGTCATATACTTTTTGTGATATGGGACTTCAAAATTTAGGCTATGCTATACAATGCTATTCAAGGTTTTGGTACTCCTTCACTATGGCACTTTGGCGCCCTTTTGAAGCATCAGAACATCAGGGGTGGCCCCGGTGGAAGGGGCATTGTCCTGCGGCCACCTCTGGATCCGACCCTGGTTGATAGGACATGCAAAATACTGCTTTTAAAATTTCGGAAAATAGCTGAAGAAACACGGATCTGAACCGGTCGACGACTTCACGTCCCAGTGCCCGAGGAAGAAAACAAATAACGGAGAGAAAAAGGCAACCGTGCTGGCGAAAGTGCGGGTCGATGTGAGCCGACCGACGTACACAATCGTGTACAGCCACTGATCCTTTGTTTTTGAGACTTTCTTGGGTCTGAATGCTGATTACATCAGCATGAAGAAATCAAGACCTGATATCAACTGCACAACGTGGGTGAGTGTACCGGCCACGGCTTATGAGCAGATATGGAAGCCGTCCGACCAATGCGTATATCGGCTTGCTTGTGTTCGCAGATATCAACACCACCGATGATCAGGGACAGACGCCTGTTCATACTGCTGTCGAGAGCTCTTCGCTAGATGCCCTTGGCTGTCTTCTTGACTGGTAAGCAAAGACATTCACTGTCACTCACTGTCACTGTCATTTTTTCTTTCATTCATTCATTCACTGTCATTCCTATGGTACAGTCAAGGTGGCGTTTAATCCATTTATAGAGCATAAGACTTGGCCAAAGTCGGCCATATTGAGGATGTGTGTAGCAGACAACCGAGAGCCAGGACTGGAAATCGCTCTCGGAAAGAATGTGTGTGTGTTGGGGCCAGGTCCAAGACTCAGGGGCCTGGGCCATTTGGGTCCAATTCAGCACAAAATGGCCCAATCGCCCAAACCTCCAATTTTACAACACCTCGATTTGAGACCACTATTTTGAGAGACCCATCGATCCCGATTTTTCAAGAGAATGGAACTTGTGATAAACCAGCGGGCACAACCTGGTGGCAGTTGAAAGCCTGTTACACGTTATGACGAGCCACAGGCGTAGAACATTCCTGCATAAGCCCAAACATTTGTCACCGTTAGAGCAATTACCTGACATGTGTTAACACCAATTTGCCAGGGCCGCTGGTTCCATCTTACCGCTGGTTCCATCCGGCACTAATTGCCCTTTTCATACGGAAGCTCAGCTCGCCTTTCGTTCCTGATTTTGACTCACCCAAATCGCGGATGCATGGTGTTCTTTTCTACTTCAGTGTCATTTGCCGTTTGAACAATAGCCCAATGCATGTTGCCAAAGTTTCCCAACTTTGCCCATCTTTCATTGATGTAACCACGCCTGAAATGTTGCTGAGATCCACTTATGTTTTGGAGCCAATTTTGTGATTAACATGCAGTTGTAAAATTACGGAAGTTACTTAGTGCATTAGCGAGGAACATTATTCACGGAAGTAAGACATAAGTATTATTTTATTATTATTCTCTTGGGTTTTCTCCTAGGAATAAAGCTTATAGTACTGCCCAATCTATGCATTAGTAAAAACCGAGTTTTAAAGTTGAAAAAGAAGACAAAAAGTGTCCAGTGACCGGACCTGAATTCTACTATCAATGAACAAATGAAGCGAGGCACAACAAAGAAGCCAAAAGTCGAATCGCATAATTTCAAAAGGAATAAGCGTCAAAGAGATAAAATTAAAACAGCATTAAGTAAAAAGGGCAACATGTCAAATCATACAAGTCACAAAGGTAAAAGTAAAATGCAAAAATTGAAATGCGCAAAACGTTAAAAGGGAAAAGTCAAATGATGTTCTCAAAGTAAAACAGCTTCCGGGGCCCTGAAGAAGCCGCTTGCGAGAGGCTCCTCCCGGACCAAAACCGGAGCATTCCATGCCCTCCACCTCGTCACGAGGCCTGCTTGTCCTATTTACTTGGCAGGTTGGACTGCTTTTACACGTTAGCACGCGCCTCATTATAGACGAGTGGAAAGATGTTTTCAAAATTTAGATAGAGAAGGCCCCCTAGCTGAGGAGGTTCTTTCTTTGGTTCAGGTAGCTCTTTTTTGCATCAGGAGTTTATTTTTCCGGATCAGGAAGCCCCCTTAATCAATGAGCCAGGTCCTGTCTTGGATCAGAATCCCTCGTTTTGTGTTGGGGTTGGGATGACTCGGGATGCCCTCTCTTTGAATCAGAGGAACTCTGTTCCGGATAAGGTGGCACCTTCCATAAATTAGCAGGCCCGTGTTCTGGATTTGGAGACCCCTTTATCACGTGACCTCCTGCTCTAGAAGGCCCTTGTGACAGTCTAAGAGCCGTTGTTGGAATGTGGAAGCCGGTAATTGGCTTGGGGGTCCTACTTCACGCGAGAGCTTGTGGTCATTCCGCCTGTGCTGGAACATATAGCCATGATATACAGCCTTGACATATAGCTGTATCTATACATGTTCATTAAATAAAGCCATGAATATTGGCCGTGCCAGATAATTTTTGACCGGCACTCCCATGCAGAGGCTTTTTCTCCCATTCCCCAAATTTCCTAAGCAGACACAATGACCATATCATATGTGCTCGAACCGGCAACAATCAGGTTTGCATTCCAAAATGATGAGTGCCAGGCTGGCATATGCCGTTTTCTCCTGAGATTTATGTGTATAGAGGTCCTACGCTGAGTGGCTGACCTACAGTTTACCGGGAAGTGCTGCCATACGACGTTATAAAGCACACATGAGTTGGATCGGCAGCAATCAGCGCCTACCTCAAGCCGTGCTCCTGATTTCAAATCAGTCTTGGTCTATGGCTATCACAAGTCTGGCTGGTCAGCAGCAAACAAACCTGGCCACATTTGAAATGAATGACGTTTCCAACTAAGGAACAAATGAATGAACTGCCTGTCCGTAGCAATGAGGCCTGCCTAGCAAGGTAGCGCTTAAATACTTGAGTATCCAGATGTCACTGGTCTAAAATTGGTCTAAAATTGGTCTAAAACTGGTCTAAAATTGGGCATCATGAGGACCAATTTCCTCATTCCCTCTAGTAACCCACAGAAATGGGATTTCCTTCACCTTCCAAGACTGCAAAATGACTTGAAGAAAGGCGAGCTTCAATTTCAACTCCGAATTTGGGAAGCCCGCTATATACGGTTTTGAGGAGTATGAATAGGTCGCTGCGAATAGGTCTTCAATAGAAGAAGAACGAATATGTCGTATTTGCCCTCTTCCCACCTAAACTCAGGAGGTCGCTTGAAAAGTCGCCTCCAAGCACCCCATTTTGTCTAGGAGGCCCCTGAAAAGTCTTCCCTTAAATGAAAATACGCCATGACGTCAGCCGGCAGATTTTTATGATTATGATGTTTTTGATGTACTATGATGTTCTGAGATTGACGGGCTCAAAGTAGAAGCTATAAGATAATGTACATTTAAAGACATCACAGGACGGAAAATCATCACGCATCAAGACACCTAACACCTTGCGGAGGGTCATTTCATTCCCATTCCATTCCAACTCCGACACTTTTCCACCTTCCGCACCTTCCACACCAGACTTTCCATGGGGTGGGCCCCACTGGCCAAGCGGAGGCGCCCCCCCCCCCCCCAACCTGTCTCTCTGGACAAGCAACTGACCAAAGGCCCTTGGTACATTGGCAAACCCTATGAAAGCCAGACCATCTGGTTAGGACGGGTGTGTTTTGTTTGACACCCCGTTCTCCTTTTATCCAGTTGATTTCTACTCCGTTTTGGCTGTTTGCACAGTTGATGTTTGGCACTCGACGTTTATGCTTTGGATTGTTTTTGCCTTTTTTACTTAAATTCCTTTGGCTCTCATCCCTTTTAAGCCGTGACTTCTTGCCCGCGTGACAATAGGCTGGGCCCCGCTGGTTAAAGCTCACATAACTTTAACTGCTCGCTAAAATAACTTGAACCATTGTGACATTTTGGATTTTGAATTTTTGAATTTTTCGTTTTCGAATGCTTATCCGGTTGTGTGTTGCATATAGTTTTTATCCTGCTTCACTTCTTGTGTTTGACTTCTTGCCCTTTGGCTAATCGTCCTTTGACTTTCTGTCCTTTTACATCTTGTCACGGACTGTTGAAAAAGGAAAGGACTCTTGGGCCCCTTCGAACCCGCCACATTTCCGGTCTTCCGTGGTCCGGAGTGTTTGGAACCCTCAGACCTCAACAGGAACCACAGCCATGCCAAGAAGTTCCCTAACCCCACTTTGGCCACATTTCGCATTAGAGCAATGCCACAGCACTTAGTAAACCCTACTTACCTAAATCCCGCCCAAACTGCGTGATCCCACACTCATCCTGAAGGCATCCACCTTAAGTTCCCAAAATGCTCGGCGACCAGCGCCGCGCATCCAGGCGATCACGTTGCCGGTCCCATTTGGTGACCGTGCTGCCAGTCCCGCCGTCTGACCCGACGCCCGGCCGGCAGCGGCGCCCGCGTCGACGTGCTGGACGCGTCGCAGCGCTCGCCGTTCCACCTGGCCGTCTGGCTGGACCGTCCGCACGTGCTGCGCCTGCTGGTGCGCTATCGCCACCTGGTCGACTGCGCCCAGCTCACGGAGCACGGCCGCGACGCGCTGCACGTGGCCGCCGTGCTGAACCGCGCTGACTGCGCGCGCATCCTGGTGAGGAGCGCAACAGCCCGGCCGAGGGCGGGCCGCCGGGGCTGTCTGCTGCCCATGTCAGTTGGCAGGCTTCTCATTGGGGTAAACGGGATACTCAACATTTGAAAATATTGACGTAAGCATCAGACATTATAAAATAAGTTCACTTATAACTATTTTATAATCCTAAGTGGAAAATACTGTTCTAGACAGCACATATTTCCTGCTAGTTTATATGTTCCGCAATGTTTCATTGTTTGATTGCGTCGT